CGCATACCCTTAACCCAAATTCCTTAACAGGGGCTAAGACAACTATATAAGCAACCCACCTCCTGAGCTTGGGGCTGCTCTCTCCTCTGCATAGGATTGGACAGTGACCGCGCGGCTAATAAAGCTCTCTTAATTTGAACCCAGTTCAGAATTGGAGTGATCTGTCTCGTAGGTCTACAACAGTTTGGGACTCTCTGTCTTCTTGGACTTGTATATCTGTTTCCTTCACCAAGTTAAGAAAATTTTCTGCCATTATTGTTTCAAATATGTTTTTTATTTCTTGTTCTCTCTCTTCTCCTTCTGTCACCCCCAAGATGTGAATGTTGGCATGCTTGAAGTTGTCCCAGAGGCTCCTTACACTATCTTCATTTTATTAGATTCTTTTTTCTTTTTGCTCTTCTGATTGGGTAGTTTGCTTCTTGGCTTTATCTACTCTACTATTGAATCTGTGTAAATTATTCTTTAATTCAGTTAGTGCCGCCTTCATTTCTGACTGGTCCTTTTTTATGCTCTTGAGCCCTCACTAAGTTTACTGAGGTTCTCACTAAGTTCACTGAGCATCCTTACAAGCAGTATTTTGAACTCAGCATCTGTTAGGTTGCTTATTCCCATTTTGCTTAGTTCTTTTCCTGGGGTTTTGTTTTGTTTTCTTTCATTTGGGATGTGTTTCTTTGTCTCCTCATTTTGGCTGCCTCCCTGTGTTTGTTCCTATGTATTACTTAATGAGAGGTATGGGGCTAGCTGAGACCAGATGCTGCTTGTTTGAAAGAATTTAGGAAAACCTGAAGCAGGATCCAAGACAGGCCAATCCTATGGTTAAGCAACTGGCAACAGCTTGGGTGGGCCTGAAAGTTCAGTGGGGCGGGGCCTCAGGGCATCACCAGGGTGAGGCTACCAGTGTGAACCAGGTTGCTGGAGTCCCAGATATGGCGACTGTCTGCCGCCCCAGGGAAGGGCTCACCAAAGGAACAAAGGCCTCTGACAGCACGTTTGTCCGGAGGAAGCCCCCTCTCCAGCCGTTGCTCCAGTGCCAAACAGCTCAGTTCTTCCCTGTATGACTCTGGTGCCCCTCGAGCTGCCTACCCTCCAAGCTTAGAGGGAGAGAGTCTGATAAGTCCATGCATGGGTCCTTTAAGGAGCTGCCTGGGGCTCCAGCTGCCTCAGCCTCCCTGAGCCTCAGTTCCCACTGGTTTTTCCAGCCAGAACATATGAGGACTTCTCTTCCTGTCACTGGAACCCTGAGTGGAGCATCTTGTGTGGGACGGGGACACCTCAGTCCTCAGGGAGGACCTTCCCAGCCAAGGTGTCCTCCTGATTTTTATCCACCACCTGTGGGTGTGGGACCAGTCTCCATGTGGCTGCTGCTTTAACTCCGTAGTTATAGGACTTCCATTCAGCTTGATTTCAGGCAGTTTTGAATGATGGTTGTTCTGTAGTTTAGTTGTAACTTTGATGTAGTTGTGGGAGGATGTGATACCGCAATTACCTACCTGCCATCTTGACCGGAAGTCGTTGCAGGAGGTTTTACTTTGCATTTCAAATTCTCTCCTCCAAAGGATTTAAAATGTGTTCAAAATGTTTCACCAACTATTGTTTTCTAAAATTCCTGCACTGTGGCCTAGCTGGTGTGGCTCAGTGGTTGAGAGTCGACCCTGCCCCACGAGGTGGTCTGTTCCATTGTCCCTCAGGGCACATGCCCAGGTGGTGGGCCTGATCTCTGGTGGGGGCGTGCAGGAGGCGGCCAGTCAATGTTCTCTCAGGTCGATGTTTCTGTCTGTCTCTGTCTAAAAAGCAATAAAGAAAAAAGATTAAAATTTCTATACTGTGAAAAGTGGACTAGGAGGGGATGGTGTCCTAGTTTTGTAAACAGAGAGATTGAATGACCTGTGTTAGGATTCAGTAGCCATTCCAGGATGCTAAATTTTCTTGTGAATGTAATGCTTCATGTGTTGAATTTTGATGTTCTGCATTCACATTTTACTATGTTTACATTGTTAAAACAGTGGCAAATTAAAATAATAAAAATTTACATTTAAAATGAACTTTAAAAACTCTGCTCCAAGGGTGATATTTCTTTAATTCATCTCTGTTTATCTGTTCCCTAGTTTTGAGGTACTTCATTTATACTCTTTTGTAGCTTCAGTTGTTAAGCTGCATTTAATTTTCATAACTGGTTACACAACTTAACGAGGAAAATGAGTGGATTTTGCTTCTTCTTCTTTAAAAAAAAAAAAGACATCAAACTAGCCTAATTTTACTAGGACTGACAGCTCCAATTAATCAGCTGTTTTTCCTATTACTAGAGAAAGACCATTAATGTCAATCAGCTCTGAGGAAGAGAAGGTGAGTTCCTCCAGGTCTGAATGATCAAGAGCATGTGCGTTTAATTAGCAACATCCTGGTCCTCTATGCCTCATTTAAATGCGCTTCTTTTATTTGGTGTGTTACATTTCTGCGACGAGCCTTGCTTCTACATGCTGGGAGAAAATAATTTAAACAATAAATTCAGTCAACTGGAGTAAGCATAGAATTAAATCTGAGGAGAAAGCCTCTTTACTGCTGGGAGGGTGCCACATGGTGGCCCTGAAACCAGGAGGCTTGCTTTGTCCTCCAACAGAAATCCTGCACTTTCTGAAACTTACTGGTATTGATGACAAGTACTTGTTTATGCAGCTACAAGGAGCACGTGTCTGTCCCCAGTTGTCTAAGAGAAAGGGGGAACTTCATTTGCCTCACTCCTGAGCAACCCTCTTGTCACGGGGGCCTTAAAGCAACACACAGCCCTTCTAAATTAGCCCCAGATGACAAATACTGGGTTTGCATACCCCAATGAGGTCAGATGGCTTCATCAGACAGGGCTTGAGAGACTTGCTACACCTCCTGAGGGTGCCTGTTCTAGAGGCCTGCCAGAGAAAGTTGACAGGGGCGTCCTCCCAAGGCGAGCCCCGCGTGTGCAGCTCCGCACGGCGTCCGCACGGCGCCCGCTGCTCCAGCGAGTCCAGGATGGTGCCCGGCGGCCTCCAGCCAGGCCAGGAAGCGGGCAGTGTGGCCGCGGGCCGCGGGGCCACGTGAAGGCGCCGGTGCGACAGCGAAATGGCTCAGTCTAACGAAAAGACGGACTTTTCGTGTGAGTCAATACCTGCCTGTTTGATTTTCATTCCCAAGTGATCCGGGTTCAGTGCCCGTCGCCTGGCAGTGCGGTGGCCGCCCCCGCCCCCGCCCCGCGCGCCCAGCCCAGCTCGCCTCGCCCCCGCCCCGCGCGCCCAGCTAGGGGAGCGCCGTCCTTCCCGGCCGCGGGGTGGGGCGCAGCTCGCCCCCAGGGCTGGGTCCGCGCGCGCGGGCGCGAGCTCGGGAGAAACACCCTCCCTCTGCCGCCGGCCCCTGCGGTCAGATCCGGGCAAGAGAAATCTGAGCAATTCGCCGGGAAGGGAGGCCAGGCTGCCGCCCGCCGCTCTCCTGCCGCCCTGAACGAATTGGTGTTTCTCTCTGCCCCTGGCCCTTTCCGAACCCCCTCGCGAGTGTACCAGCATCTCCCGCGCCGAAGTGCACATGGACAGCTTCAGTGGGTGAGGGGGCGACTGTGTCACTTCCCCCTCGCCCCCCGCCACTACATTTCCCCTGTTCACTACACGTCGTCCTCGTGGACGTGGTTTTGATCAGTTTTCCATCAGTTTCAGCGCGGTGCATCCATCTCTATTCTGTAATCTCACCCTGCTGGCGCCTGCACCCGTTACGAGTGTGGGTGCCGGAGCCCTCCGTGACTGCCTCGGGACCACCACACAACCCTTCCTTAGGCTCCTTGCTTAAAAGCAGCGCAACGAGAGGGCAGAAGTGGGGCTCCGCACAGAGCGGAGCGGCAAGCTAACACGACCTGGGGAGAGCGCAGACTCGGGACCAGGGAGTCCAGGGGGCGGCGTGGGAGAGGAAACCGGAAAATGGGCTGAACCCCAGGCAAAAAGCCCACTGCTTTGGGAGTTATTCTGGCTTTAAAAGGGCGGGGATGACTTGATGCATTCCTTATTTGATCCTTTGTGCAAGAAGAGCCCCCCCCCCCCCTTTCCTGCAGGAGCCTGGGCTGTGGGCGGCTCGGAGCGCTCCCTGGGAATGCAGCCTCCCGAGGCTCCCTGCTCGCCCAGCTGTTTCTCCAGGCTCCCCGACCACGGACACGCATACGAACGGCGTCCAGCTGGATCCTCTTAGCTGCTCTGCAAGATTCGGAACCAATTCCGCAGCGTTTTAAAAGGTAGCAAAGCCGAGATGCCTTTTCTTTCGTTCGTTTTCTTTTTCTTCTTATTTTACAATAACCTGTCGTTTCTGCTTGGAGGGTCAAAGAAGAATCCACGACCTCTTTACTGTGTCTAATCTAGGAATTTCAAATGGGGTTTCACGGAATTCATATGTGGTCACCTAAATGGTAGTCAAGGTTGCAGAATCTTCCAAAATAGCCCCTTTCCATTTTCTGTAATGAGAGACCCAAAGCAGCTCTGGCTTTTCTACGGTACATAATCTGTATTCATTCTCTCTCTCTCTCTCTCTTCCCCTCCCTCTGTCCCCCTCTCCCTCCCCCCCTCCTTCCTTCTCCCCTCCCTCTGTCTCCCTCCCTCTCCCTCTCTCGCCCTCTCCCCGTCTCTCCTGCGCGTGTGCGTGCGTTTCCTTTCATTTGTATTATTGGGAAACTCGTCCAGTGCCACTGAAAAGTCAGGAGAGGCTTAAATCGGATTTTCCACGGATTCCTACTTGCAGCATAAAATAATATTCGGAAACGTTGCCACCAGATAAGTATGAGAAGCAATCGACCCCTACCAAAATACAAGGCGCCAGAGGAGAGGTGAGACTGGAAGACAAGGAAGCCCTTTGCACTCGCTAGTGGAGGAGGGAGCGTGGGGACCGGCTGGAGGTGGAGTTCCAGTCCCCACACTTCAGTACCAGAGGGGATGGACAGCGTCTCCAGACTGGGCTGCAGCCACAGGGACAGAACTGCGCTGCCGCTGCCCCTGCTGCTGTCCTTGCCTCCGCCGGCAGCTGGGATTCCTGCTCCCTGCATCTAGAAGGCGGTGCCTCCTAATGCCCCCTCGACCCCACTCCCCTGCTTTAACAGAGGAAAAATAACTCTTCGTATCCACCTGCTACAACTACTATACTGGGCTCTGAGGAGTACTCTTGTTCTACAGATTAAACTTAGCAGCAACTTCAAAAATAATTTTCTATAGGGGGCTGGGAGAAATGCAAACAGAAGAGTGAAGTCAAAGTTCTTAGAGGCTCTGAGAAATCATGGGCTCTGCAGTAGGGGTCGAGATGCTCCAAGGCCCATACTTTTTGAAATAAACAATGTTCGTGAGAGAATTGCAACTGTATTTGGATATGGCTTTGTGAGAGGAGGTTCCAGAACTACTGAAAATCCTACGTTAGAGAAACTAAAAGACTCTAATTATTTTACTTGACAGGTAAGTGATAATACTATTTTCCTGCTTATGTACAACTCTAAAGACTTTTTCAAGAATTTCACAGAAAGATTATATACAGTATTATTTTTCTTGTGGATTAAAAAGATAAAAAAATTTATTTTTAAATGATTGTTCCTGCATCATGATCTTAGGAAATCTCTTTCTAATAACATAATTGAATATTTTATTGTTGAATGGTTTATTTCTCTGAAGTCCTTTGTATGACAAGAATATTAAAAATTATTATATATATTGGGTTATATAATTACAGTAAACTCTTAACTGGGTAGTTTTTATATTACTGATCTAACATGTTTTTGAATTTATGCATGTCTTGTTTTTCCCAAATCTGGCATTTTGTTAAGAGGCTTTATTTATTTATTTGTCTTAAACATTCAGTTTAAAGTGATCTTGTCTGTGTTTCATAGTATGCAAAATTCAAAAAGTTACAAGTAGAGATGTATTAACCACACCTTCTATTATATATTTTTAACCACATCTTCTATTATAATTTGCCAAGCAATGCACAGAAACAAACACATGTATGCATGCACACTTGATCCCTCTCTCCATCTGAACACCAAGTACACCTACACCTGTAGAGCCTTAACTAAAGAAATACAACACATTTTTACTTAGCATGGTGTTTCCTGCCTTTTAAAGCCTAAGACTGCTTGCTCAAACCATATCTGCCAGAAGGCAGAAAAGGAGAAGCTTCCGTGTGCCTTTTTGGAGAGCTGGGATTTGAAGTATTCTGACTTCTTAGTTCTACAAAATAAATTGTCACTGAAATCCAAAAAGTCGTAGGGGAAAATAGGTTCTTGACAAACCACAAACTTTAAAGTGTTCCCTCAATCTGTTTTCTGTTGGTTCTTATTTCTGGAGTCTTCCCCTGGAGCTTTAAAACTACCATCTTTCACAGTGACCTTGGTAAGCATTCTGCTTTAACGAAAAAAGGTTTCCCTGGGTAAAGACAGTTACACCAATTTATAGCCATTGCCTGCACTTCACTAAGGACTCGATCAGTTCTAAAGCACACATTCAGTCCTGTGGAGACTATTGACTTGCAAGGATGGACTTTTACAGTCATGTAAACATGTACAACGCTATATGAATAACCAACACTGGAAAGTTTGCCCCTTTGAAAAATTACAGTTCCTTTGTTTTTTCTATTTATTGTGTAGGACATATCTAAATTATAATGAAATATTCTTAATAGATACCCTCTTTCTTAATTTCAGCACAGAAATCCTCCGAGACAGTTAAGGTAGTTGTTGGTGGGCTGATGGGCCCTTGTTTAGCATTGGCTGAGAGTAGCAATTACACTCTGAAGAAAAATCATTCTTCACGGTCGTTTACCACTTACCATGGACCTGCTTGTTTAGCATAAGGGAGCAGAGGCATCTATGTCATTGAGCTGCTTGGCGGCTGTATTGCTCTATATAGGTCAGAAATGATCATCTGAGGAGGAGGACATGTACTATTGATTTGGATTCCTTCCTAGGAGACCCACAATGTGCTCCTAACACAGCCTGATGTTCTTTTCCTAAACTGAGAGATGTGAAGGTGAAACTGTCTCATGGAATAATTAATGATGCTCTAAGAGACCTATGGCATATTGTTAGACTGATAATTTGGTTGTCAATTCATTAACTTAGATTCTTGTGCCTGGCACCTCGTGAAAGGAAAGCCGAGACTGTGTTCTAGGAGACATGCCTGTGCACATGTGGCCACAGTTATCTTCTTAGCGTAGAGAGGGCAGGCTTCCCCCACGCGCGTCTGAAACTGCAGAGTAGAAGTTACCTCTGCCTAATCCCTTTGGAGACTTCGTCACAGAAATAAATAACTCAAATTCACCCTTCCAAGCTCAGGCGAAGTGTGTGGAAGCTCTTAACAATCCTTATCTTTGGGGAAATGTCATTACCTTGAGATGGAGTATTCTGTCAATTAATGCCTACCTAAATGCTAATCTCCAACAGCCTCCTCCAGCAAAAGGAGTGGGTGGGTTAATGTTACCAAACATTGTTTACAACCTGTGTTTAAAGAGAAATTAATGCTTTACTCCAGGACATTCATTTCCTGGTAAAGGAAATTGTTTGTTTGACAGTCATTTGGGCCCATTAGGGAAACCTGCATAAGGTTTGCTGAGTACTAGATCTTGATTCAACATCCCCTTCCCCATGAGGGTGGTGGTGGTGCTGAAACCGTTTTGTTGGTAAAGGGCTGTTGACTGTTGCTTACATTTGAGACTCAAAGGAGAAAAGTGAAATAGGATTGCATAAACAGGAAAATGTAAAGTGTATATAAGACCAGAGGATAATTAAAAATGAGCCCTGGAATCTGTTCAGTGGATTTTCTTTTTAACAAGAAATGGTGTGTGGAGAGTGGGACAGGGAATTCTGACCTGCATCTTTAAATTATAAAATGCTATAAAACACCTCTTGTTTAACTTTTTGTGTAGACCATCTGAATATTAACCTGATATTCTCGTGTTATTATTGATACCTACACATCATATTGGATTTGAATATCCATAGTTTGCCTTAGAAAAAACATTTTTGGGGATGGGAGGCATTGAATCAAAGTATGTGTATATCAAAAAATGTAAAAGTATGAGATGACTGTATTGGAATTTAAGAAGGCCCTCAGTAACTGACGTTTATTTTTGTGTTATTTTAAAGATGCAAATTCCAGGTAAGCAACCTGCTTATTCACCCATTTCTAACAAGCAAGGTAGAAGCTGTTAGTGAGAAAAGCATATTGTAAGCTGGAAATTATTTTTATAGTCATCTCAGCTCTCCAGAAAGCTGAACAGTGAGTCATAGAATAACACTCAAATGGAGAAAGACCTCTTCGTTAAGATCTTCCTCCTGAGTTTCTGCGAATGAGTTATAATGGCATGTGTTCACCGAGAGGACCCGCTGCAGTATAAAATATGTTATGTATCATGATGTAGCAGAACAAGAACTGTTTGACCATCAAAAGATTAGGATCCTTGAATGCGTGTCATTAGATTTTGGACTAGTCACTCAACCCAGTGAAACTTAACTGTTCTTCTGTAAAATGTGGTATTTTGCATAGCAATTAAGGCATGATTCTAATATGGTTGACACCTAAACATTTATGGGATGAAGGATGAATGCCAACTGTGTGGAATATTAGAAAGTCCTAATATAATACTTTTGAGAGTGTTTTGGGAACTAAAGTGCTATATCTTTGAATTACAGTAATGTTCAATAGCATTAATTTCTTCCTTCATTGAAAACTTCCCTACTGATTACAATATGGTGGGAATGTCTCTTATATTTAAGAACTCTCAGTAGACATAATATTTTTTTTTTGCTAATTCAACATAGATTTTCTTATATCTCCTAATGGAATAAATATTTTAATGCAGGTAGAAGCTGGTTTTAAAATATTTATTATTCAAAATTCACACCAAAGTGATCAACAGGACCCATGTTTGTTTTAAGTTCTTTCATGTTTACCTTAAATGAAGCAGTCACTCCTTTGTGTTATAATGTTCTGGTCTGTGAAGGGGGATAATGTTTAATGACATGGAAACTCATAGGATTAAATGGACTTCAAGACTCAAAACATGATTTGATTTCTTACTAGTGTGGATAACATGGTCCTGATCTATGGAGATGCCCTAGAAATGATGTACAGATAAAGTATTGATTTAGCACAAAGTTTAGATTCTATTCATAATTCTCTTTGAAAAATTTCAATCGATGTTCTCTCTCATCAATGTTTCTATCTCTCTCTCCCTCTCACTTTCTCTCTCTCTAAAATCAAGAAAGGAAAAAAAAATTTAAGAGAAATTTCAAGTTAAGCAACCTCTTATTGCTTATTTTTTTTCACCAGTTTGAGTTTTAAAAGTGACTTATTTTTTTAAATGTAATTTAAAATATTTAGTCTGTATAGTTTTCTATAGTATCACTAAAAATATACAGATAGTATGTTTAGGAAATCTAAGTGATTGTTAGATGTTACAATAATTTGCAATATAGTTTTGTGGTTAAACTGTTTGACTACCAGAGATATAAAATTATATAATTATCTAGTTAGTGATATAATTTTGAGTTTTTTTCTTTTGATTTTATCATCACTTATCAAAACAATAAAAAAGGGCCCTGGCCGGTTTGGCTCAGCGGTTAGAGCGTGGCCTGCGGTCCTGAGAGACCCGGGTTCGGTTCCCGCTAAGGGCACGTACCTCGGTTGCAGTTTGTCCCCGGCCCTGGTCGGTTGTGCGGTTGGCAGCCACTCGATGTGTTCCTTTCACGTCGATGTTTCTCTCTCTCTCTCTCTGTTCCTCTCTCTCCCTCCCACTCTACCTGAACAAAAAATGGAAAAAATGTCCTCGGGTGAGGATAAAAAATAAATAAATAAATAAAAATAAAAAAGGAAATAACAGTGAAAGGAAAATAGAAAAAAAACCAGGAAGTGAAAATCAGCAAAACAATGTCATATGATTAAAACAGATATTTATCTTTAAATTATCATTGTGAAGCTTGTCCAACAGCTTTTACACACTGAGTGTCAGAAGATGGTTTCAGATATTTATTAATTTTGTTTTTATTGCATTAGGATGAGGCTAATTCTTTATCATTTTATTACACTAAAAGTACATGCTTGCATAAATTTTTTAAATTAAAATTTGGGAAGTAGTTACAACTACATTTACATTTAGCACATGTAATATCATTTATTCAATTTCAAATAGCTGAAAATTTAATTTTTAAAGAAATAAATTCTTAATAACTTCACTAAATAAACGGAAAGCAGGAATCTTTTAGAAGTGGTATCAGATTTGAATAATATGTTACTCATATAAAATTATTGAAAAGAATAATGCATTTTCTGTGAGCCTTCTCAAAGAGGCCCATAGTGAGAAATAACTAAGTATCTGATCAAGAAATTTACAAGTCTCTGAGTAAACAGTATTGCATGGTTAAAAGTGCATGAAGTACATACAAATTCTCTTAGACTCCAATATG